ACCGCTGCCAAAGTAATCGTCCAGGGACAGCTGAACAAGAATCTTCAGTGGTTTCCCATTGCATATTGAATAATCTCCACATTCCAGAGCCTGACTACTGATATTTGCTGTTGAGGGGCGTGGGGAGAGGTGGCAGGTATGGAGACATGCTCCTTGTTTTTAAAGAGTCTAATTTTCCAGAGAAGGTGAGGCACGTGACATGTAGTTAAATGTCAAATGGTCTCTGGAAGGGGAAAGAAGGCAGTCTCCTATAGGTGACCCAAGGTAACCCATCACATTTTTCCAGGTGTGTCCTCCATTCTCTCCCGCATCTGGTCTTTCCACACTGGTCTCTTCGCTGCCTGAAAATGACTTCCCTCTCTCACCTCTGTATCTTTCCTGTCTCTATCGCCTCTGGCTGGCATACATCCCCCCACATTTCTGCCTGTTGAAGGCCTACCCATCTGTCAACATCAAGCCCCAGTGCAAGGGCTCTGTGGAGTACCCTACCCAGAAAGGACCCTCCAAAACCATTTTACCTTTCTAAGGGCACTTGGTACATTTTACTGTGCACGGAACTGACCATGCCTCCTATTTTATTGCTTCCAGTAGACTGAGAGCAGAGATGCAAAACCAGAAGCCTTAGGTGTCAGTCCAGCCCACAGATGTGTTTTGTTATTTTGAACTTTTTAAAAATAAAAATTAATGTATTAAAAATTATAACCTATATCAAACATACAGAAAGTACAAAAGATAATGTTATGTATACTCGAGGCCTGCGCCAAAAATGAACAGATTGCCTTCAACACCTCACTGCCCGTTTTTAAAGAAATAAGCTATTACACACAAAATGCTCACATGAACCCACACTGGTCCCGTTCCCAGAACTGGTCTTCACACTGTTTTTAAAATTTAGAATTAGTTGACAGTATTTAGAAATCAAAAGATTTCACATAAAAAATTAGGAAGCTTTGCTTTCCTTGAAGAGTCAGAAGATCTGGTGATTTGGGGTATATTCCCACTTGAGTCATGGGAGGGGGGGTCTGTGACTGCTACCCCCCTGAGATGAAGTACGTGCTGCCCTGCACACCACACTCCCCACCACTCCCTGAGGCCTCTTAGCTCTTGCCTGCCTCACTTACACATGGCACCTGGCTCCTGCAGGCACGTGAGTTTGCCATCTTTATGTAAGAGCTTTGAAGTCAAAAGCTTTTTATTACTGGAACTGAACCACAACTTTCTGAATGACCTTGAGCAAGTTCTTGACCTCCCTGTCTCCATCTCCTCATATATCAGGCTAGGGTAATAAGCGTACCTACTTCTGGATTATATATATGGGATTTCCCAGATGGCACTAGGGGTAAAGAACCTGCCTGACAATGCAGGAGATGAAAGAGATGCAGGTTCGATCCCCGAGTTGGGAAGAGTCACTGGAGGAGGGAATGGCAACCCACCTCAGTATTTTTGCCTAGAGAATCCTATGGACAGAGAAGCCTGATGTGCTACGGTTCATAGGTTCACAAAGAGTTCAACATGACTGAAGCGGCTTAGCAGGCACAGGTGGTGCTAGTGCTACAGGACCTGCCTGCCAATGCAGGAGACATAAGAGATGTAAGTTTGATCCCTGGGTTGGGAAGATACCCTGGAGGAGGAAGTGGCAACCCACCCCAGTATTCTTGCCTGGGAGACCCCACAGACGGGCTGCAGAACCTGGCAGGCTACAGTCCATGGGCCTGCAAAGTCAGGACTGAACGACTGAGCGCACACACACTCAGATAAAGTGTGTTAGAACATACTTGGTTCGTAATTTTGCTGCTTGAGGTTCCCATTCTTTTATCCAAAACCCTCAGGGCTAGATATATTTTTGAATTCAGATTTCTTTTGGATTTTAACAAGGTAATAAGAGTATGTATCATATATTACAGTACACCCCTGCAAGATCCAGGTTAGCACCTTGTCATTAAACACACTGAAATTTCTGCAGGAAAAAACCTAGAGTACACGTGAAGTGTGATGCAGACTTAAATTGCTCCATCTATTCTGGGGTGGGCCAGGCTGCCTACAAGCATTCAGGCCTTCAGGGAGAAGGTAGGTCGCAATCCCAGAGCTCTCAGATTTTGCCGCTTTTGGGGCTATTTGGGATTTCTTGTGAGAGGAGAAACTGTGAGGTTGGGTTTTGTCATTGTCCTCATCTGTTTGTTAATAAAATAACTGGGAATATTGTAGTTGTCCTGCAGTTCCACCACAGCTGTGTGGTCTGCCTTCCTCCAGCTCCTCAGGTCCTTTGTCGCTTTTCTGCCCCTCCTTCCCCAGGTCAGTCACCCTCCTGCCATCTCCACCTCGGCCCTCTGAGGCTTGCCTCCTCAAACCTGGGGGGCAGTCTAAACTACCTAAAATCCCCTGGCAAACCCTTCTCACCCGGCGGACCTGGGTCCTCTCTCCCCTCCCTCCGCCCCCTCCCCTCTCCCAGCGCCGCCCCCGCCTGCCCCCATCACTGCTCAGCTGCTTCCCGCTGCCTGGACCACCTCACTCAGTTCCTGCCTAAGTCCCAGCTCTCTCCTCCAAGAGCTAGCTGCGGTCCCACCTCGTCCTTGAGGCTTTTTCCCAATAACTTCTGTTCCGCTCCGTTCTGCAGACCCAGTATCCAGAGCAGTCACCTGGTGGCTGAGCACGTGGTTGGCTTGCGTCCACTCATTCAGCCGTACCCCACGCAGTCACCCAGGTGAGCGGGGCGGCGGGGCGGGGAGCGGGGCGGCGGGGCGGTTTCCTTCTTCCCTCCGGGTCTCTGCTGCCCCCGTGCGGTGCTTCCCTGTAGTGCACCGAGGGCTCCTGTGCGCGAGCTCGGACCACCCCGCGCGGGTGTCAGGGAGCCCAGTGTCCGCAAAGCACTCCCAGGTCTCTCTAGCTTATTCAGTGGAGACCAACAGCCGGCCAGATCCGCTCTCCTCTTTCTTCTCTCACACCAACCCCCGCCTGCCCTTTGGTGACAATGCCACCTCCCTCCCCTGGGAGGACAGCTCTGGCGGGTTTATGTTTGTGGGATTTCACCAGACTGAAAACGGCCGGAGGGAACTTTTGTTTCAGACTCCACCACCCTCCTTTCCTTCCTTCCTGATAGGCATAAACATAGGAGGGTTTGCACATCTTACCCAGCTGGACAGAGGCTGCCTCTTGTGTTTTGTGTCCTGGAGGAAGGCAGGAAGCGGGTGTTCCATCTCTCACTTTGTCTCACCCCTGGGACCATTTACTGATCTTCCAGGGCTGATCCTCTGTCCCTTGGTTTTTGTCCCCCCCCCCCCCCCCCACCTCCTTTGGGGTTTTTAAGGTTGATAGAAACCCGTTTCTCCCAGCCAGAGTGCTTTTTCCCTTTTCTCCTTAAGAGTGAATACTTAACCATCTTCGGGGTCATCAAATTCAACTCAATTCATAATCTGCAAATTCCCTGGGTAAGAGAGAGGCCATCTTGGTGTTGGGCCTGACTCTTGTTGTGGCCGTAGCTCACAAAGACAGGCGACCCCCTGGGCTAGAAGAGAGCCCCACCTCCCCGCCCCGGACCCCCGGGGCCACCTCCTCTCCTGCTTTGGGTCACCCGGTCCTTGATGGTCTGACAGTGTCTCTTTTGACTGCTTGTCCTCCAATCAGTTAATGAACGTGTCATTTAAGTCCCCAAACATGTCTCGATTGGCCTCCCTTCCTTGGGGAAACTGAGAAGGATGAGAGGGCTAGAGGCTCGGGAGAGATGGAGGAAAGGGACAGAGGCTGAGAGAGGGGAGGGAAGAGAGGAGCCAGGGTGAGGGAGAGATGGGGAGGAGGAGGGAAGAGGAGGAGGAGCAGGAGCTAAATCTGGAGGAGCTAAATCTTGACTTTGGCACCGAGTGGGAGAGACATTTTCAGGGACATTCACATCTGTTCCCTTTACTTGCCTGGGACCCCATCATGTGGCTTCATTGTGTGATTTGAAAGAACGTTGGATTATTGGCTTCTGAGTTACCGGAGTGGCCAAGACACACATACATCCAAGTGTGTTCTAGGGACCTTCAAGGACGCTGGCACTAGCCGTGGAGCTGGCTGCACCTCTGTGTCTCTCTCTCCTCCCAGCTGCCAAGGGTAGGGAAACCTCCCAGATTCCGTGAGGGGCTCTCATTGGCCCTAGGGTGTCTCCTGCACAGGACCAGGCAAGAAGGAGGTGACCCAAGAGATCTGGGCGCTCCCAAGAATCAGTACCCCATGTCCAGTGTTCCCGCTGCACCCTAGCAGCTCATTCGCCAGCAGCAGACACACTTCAGTGGCAGATAAGGTTCTCAAGTTTATCTGGGTTAAATGTCCCAGTCTCTCACTAGTTAGTGTGATTGTGAGCATGTTTCCTTATTCATAAAAGGGAATAGTCAGTCATCCCTACCTTGTAGGTTTCTGGTGAGGGTTAAATAAGTGATGTATGTGAGTCATTCAGTAGGTGCCTGAAACATAGTAAGTCCTCGTCAACCCTATTGTCCACCTGCCAACACTCTGCCCAACCTGGTCCCACGCTGCTTCTCTGAATAGAAAAGGCTGATATCTGGAAATGGAGGGGAGAACAAAAGAGAATGTATTCACGTAAACCACAACTTCCTCCCAATGAGTCATGAAAATGTTGATCATGTTTATTGAGCTGCATGAAGGAATATGAACTTTTAAAAGGAATGCTTTCACATTTAACAAAGAAAGTGGAGCTAAGAGGCAAAACTCGAAGTTAAAAGAAGCCCAAATAACTCAGAATCTGCCACTGAGATTTTGGTATCAGCAGCTGCAGCAAATCACCTTGTCTGTCCCCTGGAGGCGGGTAGGGAAGAAAGCTTCCACTTGGGCCAGCGAAAGACACAGTTTCTGGAAGCGGAAGGCAGATGAGCATCTTCTAAAAGGGAGGCAGGAGGACCCAGGCTTGTGTCTGTGTTACTTTCTGCATGAAGCCTCAAGGGGAGCGCTCGATAGACATCTGCTAACCATACCTACATGTCCACATTCCCATCGTTGTCACTCCTAGGTCAGTGAATCTTTGTTTTCAGGGTCTCCTTGTACTGTTTCACTAGGGAGCCAATCCACTCCTTGGTTTTCTGTTTGGCTTCTTCCCAAGTGTAGAGGGGCTCATATCCCAGATCTCGCTGAGCTTTCTTATAGGAGAAGGTGAACACGCTGTTTGAAAGAGTCACTAGGTGGCGGTTGAAGCAGGGGTTATATTTGTAAATTGGACTGAGCAGGAAGCTCACTATTTCCAGCAGGAAGGCAAGCCAGTACTGCAGAGAAATAGGAAGGCTCATCCGGGAATCCAGGCAGAAGCCCCATTCTTTGCTCAAAGTGTAATTGAGGTCATCGTAGCTTTGGTGAGGCGTGTCATCTGAGATGTAGTAGAACTGTCCTTGGATGTTCGGGACCTTTTTGGGGTCCCGCAGGGCCCTCAAGGCCAGAATGTGGGCCCAGGCCACATTGCCAACATAGACTGGGTTGACTCTGGAGAACCTGCAGTGATTGGTCAGGATGCCATTGTTCTTCAAGGCTCCGTGCATGTAGGCAGAAAGGAATGCGCTCCCCTCCCCGTAGATGTACATGGGCCTCAAGGCACATGTGTACAAGGTGCCACCATTTTTCAGAGCCCACCCATTAGCTCCAAGCACTGCCTTCTCGGCAAGCTTCTTGCTGTATGGGTATGGGGAGGACCATACCGATTCATGATGCTCTTCTTCGTGGCCATCTTGGATGATCTCCCTGTAGGAGTTGGGCCCAGCCACCTCTATGGTGCTGGTGTGGATAAAGACCGGCACGCTGGCCTGGACACAGGCCTCCAACAGCAGCTGGGTACCTGCCCGAAGGAAGCACAGCGTCAGTGTCCGGACACAGCCCAGGCCCAGCCCTGCCATGCACCGTGTCTGCCCCTCATCCGGAAGTGCAGTGGCTGTTACATCTGAGCAGTGCATTGTCTCTGGCTAAGATCCAACCATGCTGAAGCCATAGGACAAAAGCAGAAATGAAAAAATGAAAGGAGAACAAGACTTGGGTTCTGGACTGCAAGCATTTGGATTTCATGGACTTTGGGGATTTACATGGAACATGTTTGTACTCTTAATGTTGGAAAAGAACGAGTTGTCACTTTATATTTTGCAGAGTAAAGAGATTTAAAAATGATCATTTGTCATCTCCAGCACCTCATTAAAGGTGGGCTGAAATGAAAAAGTGAAAGTGTTAGTTACTCAGTCATGTCCGACTCTGCAACCCCATGGATTGTAGCCTGCCGGGCTCCTCTGTCCATGTAATTCTCCAGGCAAGAATACTGGAGTGGGTGCCATTTCCTTCTCCAGGGGATTGTCCTGACTTAGGGATTGAACCTGGGTTTGCTGCATTGCAGATGGCTTCTTTACCATCTGAGTCACCAGGAAAGTCCCAAAGACAGCTGTTGTAAACTTAAAAGATTAGGGGGCCATACTCTTAGAATAGGGACAACTCTGGTCCATAGGAGGACAGCTGAAGGACTCATATCACACACATACACACAGAGAGTTGTATGTAAGTAATGCTAGCGTGCATGCTAAGTTGCTTCAGTTGTGTCCAACTCTTTGTGATCCTATGGACTGTAGCTCACCAGCCTCCCTGTCCAGGGGATTGTCCAGGCAAGATGCAAGTAATATATACTCTTATAATACATTGAATTGTTGGTATTTTCTTATCTTTTTTTGAAGACCAATAAAAAATTGTCACAAGGACATTTTGTCACTGAGCAAATGAATGGTGGGTTCTGGGGAGAAGCTGGAGATCCGGACTGTGTTTCTGATTTTGCTTCTTGCAAAGGCCATTCCTAATTTTGGCTGACTCCTTTTACCGAGGTATGAAAAGCTGGGGTGGTAAACCTTTTATCAATACTAGTCTTCTGGAGCCTGTCAATGGTCTTAAGTGTTGAGCCTGGTGAAGAACCAGAAAGGAGTGCGCCCTCTGCTGGTAATATATGTCATGGGAGGATCTTGTAGAATTCCTTAACCTGGGGAGAATTTCAGCTCCTAGAGGTAACCCAGAGTCTTCCCTACAGGAAAGAAATGATTTCCTGGAAAAAAGATCATTTTGGAGTGGTATTTTTTAAAAAAAAAACCTTTTAATGTCTTTGTGCAATTTGATTTTCAGGAAAGACAGCCTCATTAAAAAAACTTAAATCTAAAAGCAGAGATAATTCAGAGCTAATGGTAAAGAATCTCCTGCCAATGCAGGATGTACAGGAGACACAGATTTGATCCCTGGGTCGGGAAGATCCCCTGGAGAAGGAAATGGCAACCCACTCCCGTGTTCTTGCCTGGAGAACCCTATGGACAGAGGAGCCTGGTGGCTGTGGTCCATGGGGGCAAAGAATAGGACACGACTGAGCCACTGAGCATGCACTCACGTAAATTGCACAAGGAGAAAATACCACGATTGTGAAGCATTTTCTAAACCAGAGAGTGATACAGTGATACTAGTTTTAGCCAATGGAGGCCTCTAACTCTTCCCAGGGATTTCAAATCCCCTTTTGTTGGGAGCTGTGGAGAGTAGGCAATTATGGATTAGGGGAGCTGAAAACTCAAGACCCGTTAGCACTCTCCTGGCAGTGTGGGGGTAACTAGGGGTATGGCTAAGGAAAAACTAGAAAGGGTCTTTTTTGAGACTGTGATTTTAGGCCAGAGATGCAAAAGCAAAGTGTTGCTTTAGAAAAATAGTCTCTGAGTAGACTTATTCTGGTGGGCAGGTGGAAGGCAGATGTGTTGGGGGTTGGGATGCTGTGGTCCTAGAGAGACTGGCCTCCAGGGATCAGAGGAGGATACTACACAGCAAGCTGATAAGGGATTTAAGCTAATCCCTTGAGTGAAGTGTCTAGATTTAAAGTAGATTGGAAATCCACAGTTCAGAGAGAGTCAGGAAGCATTTAAGGGATAAGGATCTTAAGATGCTATTCTTTAGACACCTGAGCTACTCTTCAATAATAGACCTGGTGGGACTTCCCTGGTGGTCCACTTCTAAAGCAGGAGGGCATGGGTTTGATCCCTGGACAGGGAACTAAGATTCCATGTACCATGTGGCACCACCAAAAAAAAGACCCTTATGCTAGAAAGATAGAGGGCAGGAGGAGAAGGGGGTGACAGAGGATGAGATGGTTGGATAGCATCACTGACTCAGTGGACATGAGTTTGAGCAAACTCTGGGAAATAGTGAAGGACAGGGAGACCTGGCATGCTGCAGTCCATGGGGTTGCAGAGTCAGACACAACTGAGCAACTGCACAAGTGAGCTGAAGAGATGGTATTATGGATAGTGTAAAACTAGTCTTATTAAGAAGATATTACAGGAAGATCAGAGCTGGCTAATTCTGTACTGCCAGACCACTGTGAACCAGCTTTGGCAGTTTTCTTGTGAGGAATTCTTTTCGGGGGTGAGCAGAAGTCCTCTCAACATTCTCACTGCGCTTATGATTCTTCCTTTGCAGGAAGTCTTGCCTGAAGGGAACCAGCCCAGAGCTGTGGCCCATCACTCCTGACCTGGGGGCACCTCGTATCACAAAGCTGTTAGTTAGTTCTTGGCCGTACTGTGACCCCTGCCTTATAGCCACACAGAAGGGCTAATGTGATGGCCAAGGAAATACTTGTAAGTTCTGGCTCCAACACAGTGAAGGCAGGAGGTGGTCGGAGAACAAGAGTTTGAGGTTGGAGTTGAGTCAACACTTGATTGGACCAGCAGAAAGGTTTTTGTGGCCTTTGGACTTACAGAGGCATGGGTTTAAATTCTAGCCCTTTCACTTCCCTCCATAGTGCCTTATACAAGTTATTTAGCCCGTCTCAGCCCCAGTCTCCTCATCTAAAAAACTGAGGATGATGGCTGTGAATCTCTGGTGATTGTAAGAAAGTGTGTGAAAATGTTAGTTGCTCAGTCGTATCTGACTGTTTGCGACTCCACAGACTGTAGCCCACCAGGCTCCTCTGTCCATGGAATTCTCCAGGCAAGAATACTGGAGTGGGTTGCCATTTCTTCCTCCAGGGGATCTTCCCGACCCAGGGATTGAACCGGGTTTCCCAAGTTGCAGGCAGATTCTTTACTCTCTGAGCCACCAGGAATCTCTGTTGGTGGTGATGAGCGAAAACGCTTGGTGTCCACCCAGCAGGTGTTCACCAGGCTCCCCCTCTCTTATCCTGGCTTCTGATCCTCACTGGCCCGTCTCCCTCCAGCTCCTCCCCAGGACCCTGTACCTTTCACATTGACATTCATGATGGTCTCTCGCGGGACAGCATCCCTGACATCGATGACAGAGGCAGTGTGGATGACCGCCGAGATGCCCTGGCAGGCCCCTTTCAGGCACTGCTCATCCAGAATGTCTCCTTCCAGCAGGGTCAGCTTGATCTTGCTCTGGAGCTCTGTGTGAACAGGAGGCAGGTCACTGGAAGGCTCTCTGAATCTGCAAGTTTCCTGATAAAGGTGGCATTTTACCTAGGTCTTCAAGGACAGGTAGACTGAGGGGAAGGAGGGATAGGGAGGAGAAGTGAACAGCCCATGGAAGGAGCAAGTCAACAAGGGCATAGCAATCAGAATGCACAGCATTTCTTGAGAAGGAGCAAACATCTCTTTCCATCCCATCTCCTTCCAAAAAAAGATAAAAAAGAGAGTTTGAGCTATGAGGAGTCAAGAGTGCCTGGAACACGAAATTGTGAAAGAGACTCATGGGGCATGTATAAAATTCATTAAGGAAAGAATTTGCATTTAATTTAAATTAAATGCAATGGGGAATCGGGTATGGATTTGGAATTAAAGGAGAAATGTAAGCAAGAGTTGTGGTGTAGGAAGCAAAGCCCGGCTGCAGTATTATAAAGTGGATCAAGGTGGGGGGTGGCTAAGAGAAAGCCAGGCGATTGAGGGATTAATTGGGCCATGGCACCACAGTTCACATGAGGAGGACCAGGGAACCAGGGATCCAGCAGAGGGAGCTGAGAAGAGAAGTGCCCAGTTTGACTTTCAGACCTGATCCTCGTTCTTACTGGAGATGGGCTGAGAGGAAGAATTAAAGGCAGCCTGAGTTTTTTCCACTTGAGTGATTAAGAGGATGGTGGTGCTTTTTAACAGGAATTTAGAATGGGCCCCAATGGTGAATTTAACTCTTATTAGAGCTCTTATTAAATAAGAGCTCTTATTAGATATCATCAAAAGAAGATATCAGTGCTGAAAATGAGCCAACCACCAAGGGACTAACATTCTGGCCATCTTAGGCAAGGGGCACAGAGATGTCATAGGGTCTCCGGCTCCTCTGAAGCCCACTGGAGGCGGCACGACTTCATCTCCTCAGGTCAGTGTTGTCTCGCAGCTGTGTCCTACTCTGTGCAACCCCACAGGCGGCAGCCCGCCAGGCTCCTCTGTTCATGGGATTCCTCAGGCAAGAGTACTGGAGTGGGTAGCCTTTCCTTTCTCCAAGGAATCTTCCCAACCCGGGGGTCGAACCCGGGTCTCCTGCATTGCAGCCAGGCTCTTTACTGTCTGAACTACAGGGAAGCCCCACCTTAGATTTGCCCATGAAATAAATGCTGCACATAGAGCTTGGATAAGTATCCTGCACTTATTTTGTGCTATTTATTTCACACATGGCTTTCAGCTTTCTAATTCCCTTTCCCAGCCATCTCATGAGACAGGGATTCCGATTTCCACTTTACAGGCAAGGACATCCAGGCTCAGAGGCATAGTCTTAAGTCACACTTCTAATGAAGGCTCCAGCCTGCCCACCTGCCTTCAAGCCTTGCTTGCTGTCCCATAACCCACTTGCAGGACTGCAGAGCAGTTCAGGATCAGCCAATTTAGATGAAATGGCTAGTCTCTCCACTGGCCAGAGAACAGTGAGAGAGAAATCCAGAGTGAAAAGTCTCCTGCGTTGCAGGTAGATTCATCACCACTGAGCCACCAGGGGAGCCAGCCAGACAGCCTGGTTCAAATCCAGTTTTGCCATTTTCCAGGTGTGGGACCTTGAGCAAGTTAATTAACCTCTGCTACATCTGGTCTGTATGTGTCCCCTCAGATCCATTGTTGAAATCCTAATGTGATGATGTTAGGAGTTAGGGGCCTTTGGGAGGTTATTAGATCGTGAAGGTAGAGACCTCATACACTGAATTTCCTTCTTAGGTTACTTCATAAAACCATCTGCTCTCCTTTAAGTCTCTTTGAGATTAGCTCCGCCCCAGCCCCTTCCACTTCAAAAAGGCCACAGAGTGGGAGAAAGGCAGAGGAGTTAGCTGGAGGGCAGAGTTTTCTGATTGTGTCCCCACTTCTTCCCTGCCTGTCCCTTCCTCTTCCTCTCTTTCAAGGCTGACTTCAGCAGACTGGCTCAAAGGCCAAGTGAGGAACGACCGCTCACCCGTTAGTCTGCAGGGATGCAGAGTGACCAGCAGAGGGCGCTGTAGATGCCTCAGCTGGAACCCCTAGCTCCCTCCTCCAAGCCTCTGTGGGCTTGGCCAGTGTTTTGCATAGACTGAATATGCGATGGAAGTTTACCTGTTGTGAGCGGGGTTGGAGGGAGGCCCAGAGAGAAGCTACTGGACAGACTAGCGGTTGAGAGGCCAGATACTGCAGCCAGACTGTGCGTGACTCTGCGACCCTATGGACTGTTGCCCCCAGGTTCCAATGTCCATGGGATTCTCCAGGCAAGAATACTGGATTGGGTTGCCATGACCTCCTCCAGGGGACCTCCCCGACCCAGGGATTGAACCTGTGTCTCCTGAGATGGGACCTTGAACAAGTTAGTTAACCTCTGCTATGTCTGCACGTTTCTGTCCCCTCAGAGCCACATTGAAATCCTAATGTGATGGTGTTAAGAGTTAGGGGCATTTGGGAGGTTATTAGATCAGGAAGGTAGAGCATGGATAGGATTAATGTTCTTACAGAAAAGACCCCAGAGAGATCCCGCATGCCTTCCGCCGAGAGAGGGCACAGCAAGATGGTGCAGCTATGAACCAGGAAGAGACCTCTGACCAGAACTTGACTCTGCCTTGATTTTGGACTTCTAGACTTCAGATGGCTCAGTGGATAAATAATTCACCTGCAATGCAGGAGACACAGGGAGTGCAGGTTCGATCCCTGGGTTGGAAAGATCCCCTGGAGGAGGAAATGGCAACCCACTACAGTATTCTTGCGTGGAAAATCCCATGGGACAGAGAAGCCTGGCAGCAAAGTCCATGGGGTCACAAAGAGTTGGACATGGCTGAGCAACTAAGCACGCGCACACACACAGACTTCAGAACTGTGACCAATACATTTCAGATTATGAGATACCCAGCCTGCAGTATTTTGTTATAGCAGCCCGAATCAACTGGATTCTTCTGTGCCTGTATTCTCATTTAAAAAAAAGAAAAAAATAAACCGAAGACCCTGTTACCCATCCCAGAGAGAGGGTTGTGATGAGGAGCGAATGAGTTGATACACATAAAACGCTGGGCACAGCGCCTGGCACAAAAGGAACCCTGTAAATTTTCCCTATCGTTATCTTGACGGAGGCCCCTGCCCACCCACAACTGCACCTGAACTCATTCACCTTGGGAGCTGTTCCGCTAGGTTGAACATCACTCTCTCTGGGCATAAGTCATCAGCCTGCATATATTGCTGGGAAGCAGGGATTACAAAAGGTTGGTGTTCATCATCTGAGAATTTTTTTAAAAAAATCAAAGACACTGTTGGAGCAGAGGGCAGAGGAAACACGATGTTTGCAGAGGTCGGGGAGGGGAAAGGAGAACAGAGTGATGGGCAGGGTCCAGGAGAGTGAGCTGGGGAGGGAGACTTTAAGTGGGGAGGGGGGTCCTGGGCAGCCAGGGCCTGTGTATAGATGGCCAATCCACTGGGGCTGGGGAGGGGAGACAAGGAGTTGGTTTGGGGGCACACAGGCAGGAAATGGGAGAGACTAAAGCCTCACTTTGTCAAGAGTTGGCCCTCGGGGCATTGACTGGGGCTCATCTGAGCTGTGCTCCCCATCAATCCCAGAGACCTCAACAAGTCGCTTTACCTTTGTTGACCTCAATTCCTCATTGTCCTGGTGGGTGTTACCCTCTCCTACCTTCCTCACAAGGTTATTTTGAGGATCTAGGAGCCATGCAGGTTGGAAAATACACTATAAATCAAACATTTGCCTTGGCATCATGGGCAGCAGTCAGGAAAGAGAGCGATGAGCTGCTTTAGTGGATTCTGTAGCCACGTCCTTGTGATGATGAGGAGAGAGGCGAATAGTACAAAGAGACGCACAGGGAATCCACGCGAGGCGTGTCTGCATTCACGCTGCCTCTAGTTCTTTTTCTGGCTCCCTTGTTGCATGCCTGTGCATCCTCTCCTCCCTGCTCTTTCTGGCTCCTTCTCTAATTCCCTCTCTCTCTCATTCACACACTCACAGACACACACACACACACACACACACACACACACTCGCACACTTCACCCTCTCTTCCTTCTATTTCACCTTCAACAGAGATGCTCAGTGAAGCCACAGAGAGACAAGGGCAATCAAGAAGCTCTGGATCCCAGTGGCGGCATCTCCAGGTTAACAGCACGGGCTCGCCCTTTGCAGACAGTGCACAGCAAGTAACAAGCCTCGTGGACAAGGGAGAAAACGGAAACATGATTTTCTAGAGAAGAACAGACTGTAAGTGTCTGGCCCACGGCCCACCCTCTCACCCTGGGCTGGGGCCTTGGACCCATCTGGGACTGCACCATGTACTACCCTACCCCATCTTCTGACACTACCTGTGACTATACCATGGTATTACCCCATCTGTGATCTTCCTTTCTGACAACAGGATTAGCCTTGATTTGGCTACAACTTCCCTTAAACTGCTAGAAAGAACCCCTCCCCCACACCCACGTAGGTCTTCAAAGGGAGCTACACTCCCCTGACTCGAGCTTACTTACTAGAAAATTCCTCCCGAACTTCTGGTCTGAAGACTTTGTCCAGCACCCGGATTTCCTGCAGATCCTTCTCCTCCACCAATAAGCGGACGACCCTCTGGCCCAGAAATCCTCCTCCTCCGGTCACGAGGCAGCTCCATCCTTCCATGGCCAAACCTGGGCACTGAGAAACGCTCACCAGGAACCAGAAAGCACTGGGGTAGGGGGGCAGATTGGGCGAGAGGACGATGCTGAAGAGAGCCCAAAAGAGAGTTCAAGTGATTCCACGCTCATAAAGACACACGGTGTTCCTTCTTTTCCATTTTTGTAAAAGTCCCTTGTGCCCCCCTCCCAGGAGTAGCAGAAAGAAAGTGAAAAAGCTCTAACCGGTCAGACTGTGGCAAGCCAGATGAAAGCACCCGGGTTCTGATCTCCAGATCACCCAAAGACGGGACTGGAGAGAGCTTTATATGCTGCTGCCTCTGACTCAGCCCACTCAGCCTTGAACTCTTATGGTGTACTCATAGCTCACCTCTCCTCACTTCCTCTCCAAGAAGTAGTGACCTTTGCCTTGTATCTCTCATTCCCCCAAGACATAGGAAGAGACAGCAAGCTTCGAGGCCACAGCGCGATAAAGATGCTTGGTTCTACCCTCAGCGGGACTCCGGGCAGTGTCTGTTGCCTGGGATCCACAATCTGTGACCTTAAACTGGACGGGGAGAAATCTCCAGCAATATGAACTGTTGCCTTGTGCAGCAAATACATCTGGAGGGCGTGGGGGTGAGGTGGATCCACTGTAGCCCACTGTCTCCTCTGTCAGAGTGTTCTTTGAAATGTTGCTGTTTTGCAGAGTTTAGAGTTGAGAAATTTGCAGTGATGGGAGCTCCAATCACTCAATTCTGTGGAAGGCAATTTTCTTTCCCACTCAGTATATCTGGAACCTTAGTTTCTTTCCCCCTGCAGAGCTCTGGGTTTCTGGAGGAAGAGCACCATTGAAGGGAAGCTATCTGGTGATAACTGTCTAGTTCTATGACCTGCATAACTTGAGTAGGTGTATGCTGTTAGCATAACTATCGCCACCTTGGTCCCTTATAGTTTCTCCTGTCCTTTCACTAACCTTACCCAGGACTGTACAGTGAATCACTTGTCTGTCATCAAGGGTTTCTTTTTTTTTTTTTAAAGATATTAGTTGTTGTTGCTGTTTGGTCACTAAGTGGTGTCCGACTCTTTGTGAACCCATGGACTGTGGCCCAACAGGCTCCTCAGTCAATGAGATTCTCCAAGCAAGAATGCTGGACTGGGTGGCCATTTCCTTCTCCAGGTGATCTTCCTGACCCAGGGATAGAACCTGGGTTTCCTGTGTCTCCTGCTTTGGCAGGAGGGTTCTTTACCACTGAGTCACCTGGGAAGTGCAATAGATATTGTATAATAACTGTTAGAGTCAAATGGGCTCTATGCTCTGTTAGTCCCAAACAACAGTGAAACTATTTGTATTCTTGGCACCATGAAACTAGTTACCCCTTCATAAATACTAACTTAGGAATGTATGTCTTGTATGCAGGTGTTCCCAGCACCTACCCATATACCCTGGGTTAGTGATAAAATTGTCCCCACGGCCCCTCAGCAGTGCTGAGTACATGTGTGAATGCTTCTGGGTCATTGTCCACCAAACCCTACTCTGTAAGTTACATTCTGATAAACTGATCCAATGATTACATGGAGCGGCCTCCTTCATTTTTCCTTCCCAAGATGCCTTCTCAGTTTGATGGGCATGCCTCCAACAGTAGGGGTCTGTAGCTGTGGGCCATAGTAGCTTTTATTATAAATGTTTGCACTCAACCCACATTTTGTTTGCAAAAACACTCTCAGTAGATTCTTGAACAGATGATGCTTATATGCTTCAGAAGCCTATACCCCAGAGATGTCCAAATACCACTGCCATCAGCATCTCAAGATATTGTCAAAAGATTGAGGTGTAATTTACGTGCATTAAAATGTCCAGATTTTAAATGTTAGTTCAATGAACCATTGCAATTATGTACAGCTATGTAAGAAACCACCCAAAACAAGATCTAGAATGTTTTTTCCCTGCAGAAAATTCTTTCCTGCCCATTTTCAGTCAATTCCCACCCTTCCAACCTACCCTGAAACAGCTACACTCTGATATTTAGTGGATAGATACTCTCCTAACTTTTCTTCTAAAGTCTTCATCATTCTGGATGTATATTTAAATATAGAATTCATCTAAAATCAAGTTTTGTACACTGCGTACAGAAAATGTTACTATTGTATTCCTCTATTGCCTATCCATTTTCTCTCATTAATTTCTCTTGTTTTAATTATTTGCTTGCTTTTGTGCTTAATTTATATTTTTTCAAGTTTCTTATGGTCAAAGTTTAGATACTTGATTTCTTCTTTTTGACAATGGGCATTTGCATTTAAAGTTACAAATTTCTGTCTAAGTACCATACTACCTGCAACCAACAGTGTTTTTTTTTTTTTTTTTTGGCCACATTGAAGGCATGTGGGATCTTAGTTCCCCGAACAGAGCCTGAACCTGCATGCTACAGTGGAAGCACAGGGTCTTAACCACTGGACCACCAGGGAAGTCACTTAACAGTTTTGTTACCTTTCAGGTAAAAATATTATCTGGCTTACCTGTGATTTCTTCCTTAATGCATGAGTTATTCATAAGCATGTTGTTAAATGTCTAAAACCAGAGATTTTCTAGATAATGTTATCAATTTCTAATTTAATACTATAGTGGTCAGAGTATATAGTCTGTATGATTTTGATTTTCAGATATTTATTAAAAGTTGTTTGGTGGCTCAGTGCAAATGGTCTGTCTTAGTGAAATGCCACAAGCGCTTGAAAAGAATTTTTTAAATTGCCAACAGTTGTTGAGAGTGATGCTTTATAAGAGTGGGTTTGACACCCTCCTTCAGGTCTCTCCCTCTTCCTGTGTTGTAGACATTTTCCTCTTGTCACTTGGGACTTGACTCCCAATGCCTCCAACACCCTTGCTTAGGAAAGGTGCTGGGTTACAGCATCTTGTTCTATCAGCACTAGCTAAAGGTCCTTGGTCTTAATGAGACCCACGGAGCCTATCTCAGGTCTTCAAAGTGCATTGTACAGTTTTGCGTGCTGTAGTGATGCTGTAAGTGGGCATTTATACCTCCTATCCCCTCCAAGGTTGGGGTTGAAGAGCTAATTCCCCCAGCTCTTGGAAATGTTGGAGGCTGGTAGATTTTGTCTAGTATCTCTCTGAGAATTGCCTTCAGCCAAAGAACCAGTAGAACAAGAGTTCAGAGTCGATGAGTGGAACTGAAGAAACCATGTAGACAGTGAGAGATAAAGGGGAAGGCAGATGGGGGTCAGAACATTACCTTTGTTTTATTTTCTAAACATCTTTGCTGTAAAACAAATTTACGTGTCATAAAATTAACTAATTTTAAATATACAATTCAACTATTTTAAGTAAAATTGTGAACTGCATAACCATCACCATAGTCCTATTATGGAACATTTCTGCGTTTGTATATGTGCGTGTGTGTGTGTGCTAAGTTGCTTCAGTTGTGTCCAACTTTTTGCAACCCTGTGAACTGTAACCTGCCAGGCTCCTCTGTCCATGGGATTTCCCAGGCCAGAATACTGGAGTGGGTTGTCATGCCCTCTTCCAGGGGCCCTTCCTGACCCAGGGATGGAACTTGAGTCTCCTGCATTGGCAGGTGGGTTCTTTGCCACTAGTGTCACCTGGGAAGCCCTGGAACATTTCTATCCCCACTAAAAGATCTCCTGTACCCATTAGAAGCAACTCCTCATTCATGCTCCCCAGCTCTGTGAAAGTCGCTCAGTCATGTCCAACTCTTTATGACCCCATGGACTATATGGTCCGTGGAATTCTCCAGGCCAGAATAGTGGAGTAGGTAGCCTTTCCCTTCTCCAGGGGGTCTTCCCAACCCAGGGATTGAACCCAGGTCTCTCACATTGCAGGTGAATTCTTTACTCCAGCTATAGACAATGTTTAATTAACTTTCTGACTCTATAGATTTGCCTTTTCTGAACACCCTATAGATAGAGTCATACAGTGCGTGGTCTTTTGTGTCTGGCTTCTTTTACTTACCATAACATACTTTTGAGGTTCATCTATGTTGTAGCATATATCAGTATTTCATTCCTTTTAGGTGTTGAATACTATTTCATTGTATTGATATCCCATATTCTGTTTATTCTTTCACCACTTGATAGTTGGGATGTTTTCACTTTTTGTACTATTATGGATAAAGCTGTTAGGAACATTCACATACATGTGTTTGTGTGGATGTATGTTTTCATTTCTTTTGGGTGGAGAGCTAGGAGTGAAGTTGTTGGGTCATATGGTAAATTTATCTCTAACTTAAGAAATTGCCTAACTGTTTTCCAAAGTGGCTGTGCTCTCTACCTGTACTGAGTGAATATTTTGGTTTTTCCACATTATTGTTTCTTCTTATTCTTCAATTGACATTCTCTATTTTTTAAAAAAAATTATTTACTTCTGGTTGCGCTGGGTCTTCGTTGTTTTGCACAGGCTTTCTCTAGTGGTGGTGAGTAGGGGCTACTCCTTGTTGTGGTGCACGGGCTTCTCATTGCGGTGACTTCTTTTGTTGGAGAGCATGAGCTCTAGGCGCACAGGCTTCAGTAGTTGCAGCGTGTGGGCTCCAAAGTTGCGCGTCATGGGTTCTAGAGCACGGGCTTGGTAGTTGCAGACATGCGCTTAGTTACTCTGCAGCTAAGCAGATGTGGAATCTTCCTAGACCAGGGATTGAACCCAGGTTCCCTGTATTGGCAGATGGGCTTTTATCCACTGTGCCACCAAGGAAGTCTGACGTTATCTATTTTTAAAATCATAGCCGTGCTTGTGGGTAAGAAGTGGTATCTCACCTTGGTTTTGATTTGTATTTCACTAATAATGAATGATGCTAAGCATGTTTTCATATGCTTATTAAACATTCCTATAGCTTTTCGGTGAAAAATCTATGTGATTCTTTGACCATTTTAAAATTGGGTTATTTATCTTTTTGTTTTGATTTGTAAAGTATTTTATATTCTATGTCAAGTTCTTTCATAGATACATGATTTGAAAATATCTTTCCAAGTCTATAACTTATCTTACCATTTTATTGATAATGT